ATTATTTGCGCATCGGTAATATCGAAATTAAGCTGTTTAAAAACTTAGTGCGCCAACATTTGTGATACTGCGCCAAGTATTGCACTCTTTCCATCACGTGATTGTAACTCTTTGCTTGCTATCTGTGGCGTGTCTTTTCGGAAGGAATAAAGCGGACTTGGTTCCTCTACCTACTATATCAACTCTATGGCTCCAATAGTCTTATGTAAAAAACAAGATGGCTCAACTCGCATTGCGATTGATTATCGATGTAAAACATGTTAAGAAGTTAATTAAAGAAAGATTTCCACTCCCAATTATGGATGACATTTTCGATAGACTACAAGGTGCTTCAGTCTTTACAAATCTGGACTTACGAAATGCGTTTCACCACGTAGACATTCATCCTCAAAGCCGCAAATACACTTCGTTTAACAAAGTTCCTTTCGGCCTTTCCAATTCACCAGCAGTATTTCAACGATTTATACAGATTGTTTTTCGAGAACTCTTAGAAGACGGGACATTGATCTTATATTTGGACGATGTGATTGTTCCATCAGATGATGAGTCCGAAGGTCTTCAAAAACTCCAGAAAGTTTTCAAAGTAGCTTCCGACTAGCTATACTTGAATTTAATTTCAAAAAATGCAATTTCCTGCAAAGAAAAATTACCTTTCTTGGACATATTTTAGAAAATGGTACGATTAGTCCCTCAGCAGAAAAGACAAAAGCTGTTTTAAATTTTCCAAAGCTCCAAACTGCTAAAGATGTTCAATCATTCCTAGGCCTAACAGGATATTTTAGAAAATTTATTAAAGATTATGCAATTATTGCACGACCACTAAGTGATCTTCTTAGAGACAAAGTTCCATTTCATTTTGGCCCAGAACAGCAACAAGCTTTCCAAACGCTGAAACAAGCCTTATCAACTGAACCTTTTCAAGCAGGGCTCACCTTTACAGCTTCATTGCGATGCATCGTCAAAAGGAGTTGGCGAAATTTTGTTCATGCAATCTGATTTAGATGACAGCCTACANCCCGAAGTTTGCTTGCCTCGCAGCCCCCAGAGTGGAGCCCATGTGGACGTTTGCGGCGAATTCACGTGGATGGTCTTGCCCAACCAACGAAAGATCCCACTGGAAATTTCCTTTGCTCCCGTCTGCAATCCGGACCAAGTCTACATTCTGGTCATGCAGTTTCCAACCGAGTTTCATTTCCCCGAGGAGAGCGTCACCCAGACCCACAGCCTCTTTTCCAACCTCCAGTTGCTGCATCGACGTGGCCGATCCCACTGCGTGGACATGGTCGTCCCTCGCGTCTTTGAGATGGAGCCGGGGAGCTGGAGACACGTCCTGAAGCACGTCCTCACCTTGCTAGACTTGGATCACCGCGTCTTGGGCGTCCGATCCATGACGCAGAAAAAGTTTTTCAAGACAGAACTGGGTCTGCCCCACGTGCGTCGCATCTCCTGCAAAGGTCACAAGATGTACGTCTGCCTCCATGCACACACGCTGCCCGTCCCGTTCAACTGCACCGCCACGGAAGCGAGAACGATGGCCGTGGAACAACTCTATGCCCAGAAGGGAGTCGCCATCGAAGTTCTACACGAAACGAGACACGTGTTGAGCAAGATCCTGTGGAAGGAGCTGCATCCCCAACCCCCAGCATCCTCCAAGCGCTCCAAGAAGAAAAAAAAATGTCACGTCCACCCATCCGTCTGTCAAAAAAAAGCGTCCACCCTGTAAAAAAATGTGTTTCTATGAATAAAAATTTTGCTTTTGGAAAAATGAACCCGTGTCTGTCTCCATTCCTTTCGCAGGGATTCCCAAAAAGTCTCCCACACGGTATCCATGGCGCAGGAGCCCTCGACGGCTCTCGACTCGGTTGAACGGCTCTCTGCCTAGCAATCCTGGAGGAACCCCCAGGGATTCTGCACCGCAAAGCCACCTCGATCTGTTGTCGGCTGAATTTCTCTACGCCAACATACATGGACTTTGCTTGATGAGTTGACCTCACGAATCTGTGCAGCCCCAATCTAAAGTCTGAGCCATCCTGCAAAATATCTACCTATAGCTCCTGAAAGCCTATCCAGGGGCTTTTAAAGGTTGTGTTGCCACTGCTCAACTCCTACAAGAGCTCGACATACCCACCGTCAATCTGGGGACCTGGGGTATATAAGGCAGAGCCTTCAGATCATTCGGAACCGTCCTCTTGAGACTGGAGAGGACGGGATTTTTTGACACTCCACTTGACTCTTTCCAAGCCGAACCCGATTCCAAAAGTTCACCACCAGAAGTTTGCTTGCCTCGCAGCCCCAAGATTGCCAATGTGGACGTTTGCGGCGAATTCACGTGGATGGTCTTGCCCAACCAACGAAAGATCCCACTGGAAATTTCCTTTGCTCCCGTCTGCAATCCAGACCCTGTCTACATTCTGGTCATGCAGTATCCAGCCGAGTTCCGTTTCCCCGAGGAGGGCATCACCCAGACACGCAGCCTGTTTTCCAACCTCCAGTTGATGCACCGACGTTGCCGATCCCACTGCGTGGACATGGTCGTCCCTCGCGTCTTTGAGATGGAGCCGGGGAGCTGGAAACACGTCCTGAAGCACGTCCTCTGTCAAAATGGCAATGCATTTTTTAAATAAAAAAAATTGCCTTTGACATAGAGTTAGATGGTTTGTCGGCAAAGGGGGCAAGTCTTTAGTAGACGGGTGCGCATCCAATCGTCCAGACAGTATGCGTGAAACACATGCTGGCAAAGAGTGCGATAAGGAATCTCCACCATCTCTTCTAAACAAATCGGGCAGGGCTCGGGTAATTTGTAATACCACTCTTCAAAAGGTAACGAAAACAGACAATTGCGAATTTCTCTGGCTAGGCGAATCCGAAAAGCATCCGTCACGTGATACCCTTCACGAAACCAGTGGTCGATAATGAATCCGATCCATCGCATACCAAAGGAAGTGAAAGTCAGGAAAGCTGGGCTTCCATAATTCCTCTTCCACTGAAGACGCAACTCTCGATCGATGAATCTCTCACATCCGAGAGAGATTCATCATGAGGCGGGTGAATCTCTCACCCGCTTCACATACAAGTAGCCTTCTGGGTCGAGAAATTGAAGCACTGGATACGCCTCGTCCCCCAATTCCACGACCTCTGGCTCCTCCATCGACAACACCTCCTGAGGAAGAGTCTGGATTGGAAACTCCTGATCGGGTGACACGGGAACGAGATTACGAATAATAAAATAATTTGCTATCTGGAATCGACTCTATGTCTAAATATAACGGCTCCTCGGCGTGCAAACCCTTATTATAGTCACACAAAGGGCGCTCCAGTCGTCATGACGCTATGGAATATTCTAGAAAAAACCCCGGGGCTTGAAAATGATCACAGGATGCATTTCCAGGATGTCATGTTTTAAAAACATCCGATCCAATGAAACCCTTTCCAGATGCGTTTCCAAGAAATTGCGCGACAAAACACATCCGCCCGATGCAGTCACAGGCTGCGCTTCCAAGAAGTCATGCGACAAAACACATTCCCCAAATACACTTTTAGGATGTCACCGGATGTGTTTCCAAAAACTCGTGCGACAAAACACATCCGCCAGATCCAATTTTTTATTCAAAAATATTGATTTGTTTTGCGATACTAGAAGTTTTTTTGCATATTTACATCAATATATATCATTGCGATGCATTGATTTATTTACTTTCAGAAATTGTTAAAAGATAGAATAGCTCTTTTCGAGGTAGCCAATCAGCTAGGAGTTAGAATCTTTTTCGGAAAAGCTGAACTAGATCTTAGCCTGAGGCGGGGTGCGATTGTCAGCGCCATCTAGTTTTCAAGTTTGAGGCTAAATTGCACTTTAGGACCGCCTTGAAGATTCATTTTATGGTGGGATTAAAGGTAAATAAAGTAATTACTTTTGTTTCTATTTATATGTAGTTTTTATTTTATTTTATCTGATCACTGACATTATGGTACCAAAAAGCAAATCAATTGAAATCCTATCTTCAAGCGACGAAAGCGATTTTTAACCAATTCATTCCAAGAAGATGCACGTTTTGGATTACGACGAGTAGCAGCAAACTATTTAATGTATAATTTGAAAACTTCTCCATGTACAATGAAGAATTAAATATTTTTACAATTTCTTAAAGTCTAATTTAATTATTTAATTTAATTGAAAGCATTCTCACATTTTTTTCATGAATCATTTATGTATTTTCTGAGTCTGACTTTTTTTGTGCGGTATATAAAAAAAGTTTTATACACCGCATAAAAAAAGTTTCAGGTTGTACGACGTACAAAGTTATATGTAAGACCTTTCTTTACGTAAACCTGAGCCAACTAGTCTTGCGCGAGCTATGAAATTTAATCGAAACAATGTGTATTCGTTTTTTTAATAATTTATCTAATGTGTACGACAGATATGAAATTAAACCCCAAAATGTCTACAATGTTAATGAGACTTGCATCACAACAGTGCAAGTGCCTACAAAGATAGTTGCTAAAAAGGGTAAAAAGCAAGTAGGTGCAATCACTTCATCTGAACGCAGAACTCTTGTGACGTGCTGTGTTGCTGTTAAAGCGACAGGAAATTCAATTCCTCCATTTCTAATATTTCCGAGACAAAAATTTCACGATCATTTTATTCGAGATGGACCCCCTGGGTGTATCGGTGCTGCTAATGGGTCTGGCTGGATGCAAGCAGCTGAATTCTGGCTATTATTACATCATTTCGTCAAACATGCAAAGCCGAGTAAAGACAATGTTGTTCCGTCACTTCCTGATAACCATGACAGCCACCTTTATATACCAAGCATTGAATTCTGTCAAGATAATGGAATAATTTTACTATCTCTCCCAACACACTGTTCTCATTGTCTTCAACCATTAGATGTCAGCGTTTACGGCCCACTAAAACGCTATGTGAATGTGGCAATGAATTCATGGATCAAAAATCACCCAGGAATTCGAATGACTATATATAACATCCCTGAGATTACGCGAACTACTTTGCCCTTTGCTCTTACACCTAGCAATATCGCATCAGGCCTCCAAAAAACTGGCATTTGGCCTTTTAACAGAAATATTTTTCAAGAGTCAGATTTTGCTCCGTCTTCTGTAACAGATGTTCCTCAATCTAGTTTAGGTGGTCAATCATTAGATATTCTGGTTCCTGATTTTACACAAACTTCTCCTCCTCAAGCTTCGTTAAATGAACCGGCATTAGAGATTCCGCCTTCTTTCTTCTGAAACAGCTTCAAATACACTTC